AGAGAGAGAGAGAGAGAGAGAGAGAGAGAGAGAGAGAGAGAGAGAGAACATACTTTTTCAATATGCTATTAAAATGTTGTTGCAGCCGCTATCACCACTCGTTTTTAGCTCGTATTGCATGACTCTTCGACGATGAAGTACGCGGAATAATTATTTGTGTAACAAGTGCTGTAAGTTGGAAATTGGACGTGCGGAGTGGACGCACGAGTCGGAGACGAGTGCGATCACCCGCACGTCCAATTTTCAACTTAACACACGTGTTACACACCCTATTTTATATTACAAGTGCGTGGAAAGTGGCCCATTATTGCGCGCGCGTCATCTGTGCGACGGATGGCCAATTCTACACACGAGTCGAAACAGTGCGGTAATGTTACATTACCGCACTGTTTTGACTCGTGTATGGAATTGGCTATTTGTCGCACAAATGGCGCGCGCGTAATGGGCCACTTTCCACGCACGTGTGATATAAAAATATTTTCGCATCGTGTCTTACATATCGCGTGTTTTACACGGGCGTGTTGCCGTATTCGTGTATATTGTAACCTGCGCACGTGTACGTGCTTCCGTTTCGAGCTTTCCGAACGCTCATATTCTGAAATAGTCGACTAGTTTTCGATTGCCAATGTCTGCTCTCCTCGCTGCTGAACATTCGGCTGATTCCTCGGTCGGTAGTAAAATAGGTGAGCTTTGACCACCCGCAAAAGGCGTCGTGCATTCGCCTCGTGGCAATCTGAAATAGCGCGTTTCTATCAGTTTTAAATTTGTCCTCAAGTGGAAAATTCCGAACACAAGAAGTTCTCGTAATAGATGTTGTTATTCGATTTATAACAAAATTCTAATTAGTTGCAGTCGTCTTTCTACAACCCTTAGGAACTAATATTTTGAATTTTGATAAAAAATTTAATGCTTCTAATTGACTAGAAACAACATCGATACAAATATACACTTTCAAAGTAATCATACAATATAATTAAGATACACAATAATTCAAAATTTCATTAAGTATATAAGATATAATTAATGTACAAGATAATTCATAATTTTATAGTCATATTTTGCAGGCAAACAAGTATACATAACGCAAAATTTTATTCTATATTTGTACACTATTCTTAATTTTGTACATAATTTGATATAGCAAAGTTTTAGCGTTCTCACTATCAAGATATGTTAATGGCGATAATTAAGCAATTGTAATTAATTA